TCCTCCCTGGGGGACAGACAACCGAAAAGTGGGTGAAGGGAGACGTCGGACAGGGCAAGATATGACAAAATACCCATTTATAAACTATCAAGGGCTGATGAGGGAGGGGGAAGTGGGGAGGGAGGGGAAAAATGAGGACCTAATGTCAGGGGTTTAAGTGGAGAGAAAATGTTATGAGAAACGATGTACAAATGTGTGTATGGATTGGGATAACAGTTGTATGAGCCCCTAATAAAATGTTAAAAAAAATAACATTGGGGCAGAAAATAGAATGTTACTAAAAATGCTGACATGAAGACAAATGAGAAATGAGAATCGGTTAACAAATTGTAAAAGTAAAGTCACTTCCAGTAATAACAATATCTTGACTTCTAAAAAATAGGTTTGTTGGGTGGAAAATACCTCAGTCCTTGGCTTCTTGCTAGAAAGAATTCATGCGGAAACCTAGTTTGTGATCCACGTGAGTTTTTATAAAGCATAGAAGTTTCAGGTTTTACACAGGCATCTTCGGGGCACTTCACACCCACGTGTGGAGACTGGAGGACCGAGAAACCACAGCACAGCAGAAGAGTAGCTGGGCTCCTGGTTCTGACTTTTTCAGGACCCTCCTCTGGGAGGCGTGGTCAACGGGTACTGGTTGACCCCATTGACTGAATTAAGCTCACCTGGCCTAGATTGGGGCCCTCCCAAGTGTACTGGCTTCCTTTCTCACAGGCCTGAATCTGTGCATGACCTCCAGCCTTGATCAGCTTCCAATTTCCTGTCAGGGTGGAGCGGGAGACCTTGGTATGTAGAGACAACCCCTGGTTTCTGCCTCTAGCTACCTAACAGTATCCACTAACCAACTAAACAACAATAGTTACTGAAAATAAGTGCCTCCACACTGCACAAAAAACATGCAGACATTTCATACAAGTATTATTTGTGTCACAAAAAAACAGGAAACTGTCCAAACACCCATCCGTAGTAATATAAATTGTGCCATGTTCATTAAAGGTGTGTTAGACAGGGTTCTCTAGAGAGATAAAACCAAATTGCTGATAATTTAATATATTTATTTATAAAGATAAGTAGATATATAACAAGGAATGAACTTTTCAATCATATACAGTTAA